ATGAAGTAGAGCCAAGTGTAGCGAGAGAAATCATCAATAAACAAGATATAGTAGCGATGACCACCTTTCGAATCAAAGGGAGCAGGACCCCAGACATCAGAATGAACTAAGCCAAAAAGACGCTGAGATACCGACTCACTGGTAGGATAAGGTAACTGGGTCTATTTGCCAAGTCTGCAACCATTATAATGTAAAGAAACATCTCCAGATACATACCCTAAGAGGCCCTGACGAACTAAAGAAGACAAGCGAGAACCACAAATGTGACCAAGGAGATGATGCCACTGCTGGAAGGACGCAGACGAAGGGGCAGCAAGAGCATGGGAGCTGGCAGAAGTGGTGGCAGCGGAAGGAACACAAAGCCAGTCAACCTCCCAAAGGCCCTCTGACTCACGGCGCCGGGGGCCAGCACCAACCAAAGCCTTGGTGCGATGATCCTAAATGGAGTAAGAGTCGGTATCAAGAATGACATGACAACCAAAATCAGTAAGTTGGGCAGCGGAAAAAAGATTCATGGTAAGGCGAGGAACATGAGAAACACTAGGAACAGAAAAGGACGGAGTGGAAAAAATACCACAACTAGCAACAGGAAGAGATGTGCCATCGGCAGTAAGAACATTAATAGGAGACTCAAGAGGGCGAAGAGAAGACAATGCAGAAGAATCAGAGGATATATGAAAGGAAGCTCTAGAGTCCAGAACCCACGAAGATGTACCTGACGGTGTAGATGCCTGCGGTGATGAAGTGGTGAAAGCAGTCACAACAACGGCAGAGCCCGTCGATGAAGGACCGGAGGAAGCCAGAAGGCATTTGAGCCGCACAATGTCCTAGTCAGTAAGTGACGGAGTCGATGACGACACAGGAGTCCCACTGGAAGAGGAGCGCCTCTGGTTTCGCTGCTTCTAGCGACAATCAGACTCTGGGTGACCTGGCCTGAAGCAATAGTCACAGAAGGTGTCACGGTGCAATCGGCCCTTCTCAACATAAGGAGGACGACCCACCTCCCTGAAGGTGTGGGCAGGAGCGGTGGAGCAGTGGGACGAGCAGACGACACAGGAGCTCGGGCAGCCAACACATAAGGAACCGCAAGCAACCCAGCAGAACGAAGGCGGGTCTCCTTAGCACGAAGCTCAGCAAGTACCTCTGAAATAGGAACACGACCACGGGCAAGCAAGTGAGCACGTCGAGGCTCAAACTCGGAGCGGAGGCGAGATAAGAACTCATGGACACGCTGAAACTCCAAGTCGGACCGCATATTCTGACAGCAGCGACAAGATCCACAAACAACTGTCCGAAGAGAGTCAAGCTGGCGCCAGATGGCAGAACTCTATGTGTAAAACTCGTCAACAGATGAGTCACCCTGCTGAAGAGCGTGCTCCTGACGCACCACAGATAAGTAAAGAGCATCACCAGAGGGCTGATAGCGCTGACAGAGATAAGACCACATCGCTGCAACTATGTCGAGGCCCATGAACTCCGAAGCAAACTGAGGGAGGACACTTGCAGTGAGAACAGCAGCAGCTCGAGCATCATCATTGCACCAGTGAGTGTAAGCAGACATGTCATCGTGGTAGACAGAAAGAGCATCTGAATAGGCTGATACCTGCTGATCATAAGCATCAACCGCAACATCACCGAGAGCCTTGGCTGCATCCCGATCAGCCTGGGAAGCATCAGCAGCAAGTCGCACTGCTGTTTCTACCCTTTTTTTAAGTCAACGCAGACAGACTACCCGATCTGGATCGGGCCAGAGCGTGAGCGAGGCAGAGCTCGCTCGATCTAGCCAGAAGCGACTAGGTGCAGCAATGCAACCAGATCGGGGCGACCGGCCGGAGCAGCGGAGCTCTAGGCAGCAGCAGCCGGGCGCAGCAGGAGGAGAGCGGGAGGGCGCAGCCCGCAGAAGGGCGCCGGGCGGCAGGAGCGGACACTAGGGCCGGCTGGGCTGGAGGAGCCGGTCAGGAAGGGGGAGCACCGGCGGCCAAAACAGATAAGGGACAACAAAGTTGCCCCGATCCAGAGGTGAGGGCGGTCAGCGGAGCCCCAGGCAGCGGGAGGAGGGTGTCGGGCCTGGAGGATCCGGGCTAGGCCGAGAGGGAGATGGCCAGTTACGGACGGAAACAGCCGAAGATGGGCTGGGAGCAGCCGGAATCGAGGTGAGCTAGGAGTAGGGCGCACGGAGTTGCATCGTGCGGGAGAGCGAGGCTAACCTAGCATCTGATACCATGTTGGAGAGATGAACAACTAGTATTCACTGAGCGCAAAAGGTCATATACATGTGTGATAAAGTGCAGGAAACCCTTTATACAATGAGATATACCAAAAAGGGACTACACACATCTAACAACACCCTCATGTGGGGGAGAACGCACTGGATATGGGGTTTAGCTGAGCTCGGGCGTCAAAACGCCGCTCTCATCATTCCTCTGCATTCTAGTACCGAGGAAGAGAAAAAAATAGCAATTTAATAGCTTAATGAGCCTGGTGCCCTGTGCTTCTTATCTTGCAAGTATCCTTGCTGTAAGAGTCCGGTTTTCAGACTCTGTTCAGTTTCATTGAAATGAAACAACAGAGTGCAGCAGTTTCAAGCTTGCAGTTTTAACCGGGCTCTTAAGAATTGTACTATTCCTTTGGGTGTATGATTCTATTCTAATCTGATCAGTGTGGAGTGGTTCAGTTTTAGAAAGGAAAATTATATCAGTGCTATGTCCCCTTCGTCAAAACTGTGAGGCCCACCGCACCAACACCCTCCTCCTCCCCCTCCCCCTAAATTTCTTCCTTACTAATGCCTAAGTTGTTGGCTCTGGCTCTTGATCTCATCCTCAACAACACATGTGCCACTACGATTTCCGCCAAAGCTAGGACTATCATCGCTCGGTCGCTATCTCACCTACGCGGTTGTCATTGTGGCCAGCTGTGTCGTCTCTGGCTACAGCTCGTGCAATCGCCGTCATCTCCATAGCTAAATGGGTCGAAGGGTATATCCTAAGGTTTGTAATAAGTGACATATTCCTATTACTAAATCAACGACAACTAATATGGAGTACTAAATCAGCAACAACTAATATGAACTGGCCAACAACGCCAATAGAATTTAATCCAAAGTCATGCCATCTCATACTCTCTGTTTGAGATTTCTATTTTCAAGTTTTAACGAAGAAGAATCCGACTAGCTGGTTGGACAATGGACACCCTAAAAAGGCATATTCGAGTAAGAGGCATGCCCCTCCTTTATTAAATTGAAGTAAAGAGAAAAGGGTCGTGGATTTAACACCGCCTATGGAGAGACAAGATAAGAATGGAGAAAGGAATTGTGAACGAGAGTTGACGAAGTCCAACCAAGCTGGGTCTGGAAAAAGTTCGGAAACACCTTCTACCCACATTCAAAATTCACACAAAAATCATGATTTTTTATTTTTTTTAAATTTTGGTTTTCCAAAAATACACCTACATTTTTTGAAATATGATTATTTTAAAATTCACAAACATTTTCAAAATTCCTGAATACTTACTTAAATTCATGGATTTAGATAAACATGCAAAAACTTTTGAATTTTTTTATAATTTTAAATAGTGTCCATACTTTTTGTTATAGATTTTCGTGTTTTAATGAAAAAAAAGACCAGATACAGGGGTAAAACGGAAAAAAAAATCCTGGATAAAAACTACTCTTTTTTTTTTGAGGGAATGGATAAAAACTACTCGACACGCCCCAACTGGGGCAGCCTATAGCCCACACGGACGAACGTTGAGCCCTGTCGCCTCGCAGCCCGGCCCACCTTGCCTGAAAACGACACGGCTGTCCATTTTGCACGCACGGCCGGCCGGCGGCGCCTCGACGCACAGGTGCTACCTCGTCGAGTCCAACCCCTAAAAATGGCCAGGAGGGCAGGAAGGGGATCGGGTCGGAACCCCGCTGCTTCCTCCAGGAGGCCGATTGTTCAACTCGCCCTGACCCGGCGCAGAGTGCGCTGGCCGCGGCGCCCGCGGACGGAGGCTAGGGAAGCAGGGCCGTCGACGCGCGCTCCCAAGGTACGTCGTGCAAATTCACTTGCTGGGAAAAGAATCAAGAATAGGGCGCGTGGCTACAAATCTGCGTCGCGGGAACACAAAATGGTCTGCTGTCTCTCGTTTTAGTTGACTCTGACAAGATTGTGTGATGTATTTTTGGCAGTGAAAGAAATAGCGCGCTATAGCGCCGCTAATAGCACGATATAGCATTTTGAGCAATGTCTCGCTAAATAAATCAGTATACAATGCCTTGCTAATAGCACGCTATATCGATTTATAGCACACTAATAAGCGTATTTTAAGAGCCACGTTATTTTTTTCAATGATTTTTGGACGCTCCGCTTTGTCCGTTTTCACAGATTACGGCAAGTGGTGCACTAGCACTTACACATGACTCAAGTGTTACTCGTATACCTAAAAATTTAGCATGGCTCCAGTGTTATGTACCCCCTCCGTTGTATCTAGAAATATCTAAGGCAACTACTCCCTCCGTTCCTAAATATTTGTCTTTCTAGAGGTTTCAACAAGTGACTACATACGGAGAAAAATGAGTGAATCTACACTCTAAAATATGTCTATACATCCTTATGTGGTAGTCTATTTGAAATCACTAAAAAGACAAATATTTAGGAACGGAAGGAGTAATTCATTATGAGGTAATATTATTCAATGTTCAGCAAGCAAAGGAAATGGTGACATTTAAGTTGCAACGATTTTTCTGTTCTGAAAAGATTTACACACAGTTGAGAATATCTGAATTTTCATTGTATTCATATTGCTTCAGTTTAAACTGTCCCACAATATTACATACTTTCACATCTCCAAGAGATAGAATAACTCTTAATCCTATAAAAATTTGTAGACCTAATTATGAGTTTATGACTCATACCTAGAGGAGAAATTTATTCACTGGATATGTTGCACAACATGAATAGCAACCGAATATGATCTAAGTTGGCAATAAACAGATATGTACATTAGAGTAGTACGTACTAGCCAAAATACCTCGATAGGACTATCTGATCATACAGCACCCCTACACCTAAGAACGCACTAAAGGCAATTGCGAAGGCCACCTTGTAATCAGTTTGTTTTGTTGACAGAATAGTGGCCGGAGGTGCCTCCACTGAACCACATTTGTGGATGAGCATAGATCCGCAGAGTTTTGTATTCCCATCAAAACTAGAAGTCTCAAATGTGTTGAACTGGCCTCCAGATGGAATAGGACCTTCTAGATCATTGTCAGAAATGTTAAATGCAGCAAGGAAGTGCAGGCTGTTCAATGCAGCTGGGATTGCACCTATGAGGTTGTTGCTGGATAAGTCTAGCACCCGCAACTTTGTGAGGTTGCAAATCGACTGGGGTATCTGTCCTGATAACTTGTTGAAGCTGAAATCAAGTACACCAAGCTTTTTCAACTGGCCAATCAGTGCGGGAATCACACCTGTGAAGTTGTTGTTGCTTAGATTCAATGCTTTTGGGAAAGATGTAAACACACGGTATTGAAGCGTCGGCCCAGAATAAACAGGCAGGTTGAAGACCCATGGATCCAAATGATTTGAGTTGTCAGTTGATTTTAGCATTGGCATCTCCGTCAAGGCTAATGGGATTTCTCCTTTAAGGTTGTTGTTTGACACATCTATATAGGAGAGATGGTTTAGGGAATTGATCCAGCCTGGCATTGGTCCGGTTAGTTGATTGCTTCTTAAAATTAACACCTCCAAATTTGTTACCCTTGATATCCATAGAGGTATTTTTCCAGATAATTGGCAACCATCCATATCCAAAACCTGAAGATTCTCAAAGCCATCAATTCTGTCATCCTGTGGCATGAGCTCTCCTCTGAAGTTGTGCGCAATAAGCAGGCTGCTAAGATTCTTGCTGCTCTTAAGGATCTGAAGTGCATTTGTGATGTTTGTGAAATTGTTTCCACCAAGTGACAAGAAGGACAGATACTTCAGATTGCCTATTCTCGATGAGAGCTGCCCGTGTAAGTTGTTTCTAGATAGCCGCAGCGCAGTCAGATTACTGCACGAGTACATGCTTTCTGGAACTGTACCAGTGAAGAAGTTGGACCAAAGATCTAAAGTTTTTAGATTGGGCAGGTTGGAGAAATTGACATTGATAAGTTCTCCACTGAATTTGTTGCTCCTGAGGCCAATTCTTACAAGATTTGTGCAGTTGCTCAGAGTCGATGGCAGTTCCCCTGACAGGTTGTTGTAGTGCAAATGGAACTCCTCCAATCTCTTGAGCTGACCTATAGAATCTGGAATCCTGCCATTGAAGTTATTCCATCCAAGATCAAGGGTACGGAGATTTATGAGGCTGATTATGCGTGCACTATCAATAACACCGTGTAAATTATTGTTAGGAAAAGAGAGGTATTCCAATGAGGTTGCATTGAAGAGTTCATCTGGGAGTGTTCCACTGAGATTGTTGTAGCCGGCCTTGATCACTCTCAGCATGGAGCATTCACCAAGCCCTGGGGGAATGCTGCCACTAAATTTGTTGAAACAGAGGTCAAGCACCGTGAAGGATGGTGAGTTATTGCAGAAATAAGTTGGTATCCCCCCAGTAAAGCTGTTATTGCTGGCATTGAGTGTTATCAGGTTATCCATTGTCTTCCATATGGTGGATGGAAATGGTCCTGCAAGTAAGTTGCTCGAGATATTCAGTACCTGCAGAGGCCGGGCAGGGGTTGAAGATGACAGTTCGTGCAGAGCTCCAGTCAGGCGGTTGAAACTGACGTCAAGGACAATGATGCTGCTGGATGACACCAATTCCAGTGGCAAGCTACCAGACAGCGAGTTGCGCGACAGGTTGAGACGTAACAGGCCAGTGAGGTTGCCAAGGAACGGCGAGATGGACCCCTCGAGACCTCGAGAAGCCAGCTCAACATCAGTGACCGTCCTATTGGGGCTGCAGGTGATCCCTTCCCACCTGCAGCAGTCTGTGTCGTTCCGCCATGACACCATGAGGCCGCCGTCTTGCGAGAGCCCATCAAGGAGCTGGATAAGGGAGCTCTTCTCCTGCTCCGTGCAAGAGCTGGTGGGAGAAGCCAAGGTGACTAGTAGCACAACGGTCAAACCAAAGAAAGGTATGGGAAACTGGTTCCTGTGCGAATGACTAAGCGGCTGCATGGTTTTCTTGAGAAACTAGCTTGGAAACTTAGCTTTGGTCTGCCAGGATGAACTGCTAATTTATCTGATGAAGAAAGAGCAAGAGAGGAAAGGAGCAACCTGCTCTGCTCTCCATTTTGTTTGATCCGGTCTCTGGTCGTTAGTTATAAAAAGAAAATTTGGGTCAAGGATTAGCTGCTATTGCTTGTCCTATCTACTGTAGTTTATTGGTAAGTCTGTCCAAGCAGGAATTGCCGTGTTGATACTTAATCTGTCCGTTTCGCTTACTAGTTTTATGTGAAGGGGTTGTTGCTGAACAATGCGTGCATTTTTTACACTTGAGTAACATCATGTATATAGGTTGGTTGTATTTGGTTTGACTTCAACAGGTCTGATTCTTCTTTTTACAACTTATTGACAACGACTTCCCTTTTCTTAATAAAAATACACCCACTAGGTGCAACTGAATCAGCAGGAAACTGAACTTATTTGACATGTTACCTAACTGTGCATA